TAAGACATTTTCGCTTGCTTTCAGCTACTTGAAACTGTACCTCACTTGGATCACTTACGTTGAATGCTTAATAAGGCAAATTGTGCATTGTTTTCTGGGACAATAAAAATGACCTGCAGCCTTCAGGCAGAATAAACGCGTTTAGTGTGACATGTTTATATCTGTTTAAAATTTTCCCTAAACGCACCGAGAAGCATGGATAAAATAAAACAGACAAGAGAGCGCTTACACTCAAAACCGGTGTCTTCTATAGACAGACTTCTTGGTGGAGAACAGGCTGGAGAAGCGCTTGTGATGTAAAGCTGGGGGTTGAGTTATATGGAATTATATTTAAGTGGATATGCTGTCAGTATAAGTGGAAAGGTGTGGATGTAAACGTTTTGTGCCAGTGAATCAATGCAAGCAAACTGTACATTGACATGGTATTTCAACTAGTCTCAAGGTTCCATTATAATTTTTTGCTGATTGCTCATTTTGGGTACCATTCATAATATTTTTTCGCTGCAGAACATATTGATACTGAGTTGCCGAGGTAATATGGTTGAAAGGTTGGTAGGCGCGCTAGTTTCATTATGAGGTAATACGAACCTCAACCTCTGCAGAACAAAAAGATAGAACATAACTGAACACATATTTTTTTAAAGAGAAAAGGTGTATCTATACGAACACATCATGCATCGCGCAAGTGTAACAAAGCAGGGCGCGACAAAATCACTCGTATCGAGATTATCGTAAGATACCACAAGAATTACGTGTCCAGATGCACGTTTTTCTTATCGTGCAGCACAACCGTGGCTTGACTAACACAGTAATGTCCCCTCTTCCGGATGTGGCATGATTAAACTCGCGAGACATCTGATCCTAGCGAAAAAATAATTTCGATTTTTTTTAACACAAGATAACAACCACAGACTTTACGGTGACTTTAAGCGAGTGTTGATTGATTTGTGGGGTTTAACGTTCTAAAACCACTATTTGATTATGAGAGACGCCGTAGTGGAGGGCTCCGGAAATTTCGACCGCCTGGGTTCTTTAACGTGCACCGAAATCTGAGTACACGGGCCTACAACAATTCCGCCTCCATCGGAAATGCAGCCGCCTCAGCCGGGATTTGATCCCACGACCTGCGGGTCAGCAGCCGAGTACCTTAGCCACTAGACCACCGTGGCGGGGCAGCAAAGTGAGTGTTGCTTGAGGCCATCTTGCTGCGATAGACGTTCATTCAGTTTGAAAAAAAAAATAGGACAATGTTGTGTTACTGATAATAATAATAATAATAATAACATTATTATTATTATTATTATTATTATTATTATTATTATTATTATTATTATTATTATTATTATTATTATTATTATTATTATTATTATTATTATTATTATTATTATTATTATTATTATTATTATAGTGCCATGTTGTCTTAAAGTGAAGAAACGCCCCACACTTAACGACATGTAGATATGAATATGAGGAATCGGATGCTTGTCGTGCATCACATCTGTGATAATATTTCCTGTTGCATGTTGAAATATATATAACAGGCCCATGAACCGTTGCCTTTTCATGCGAGTTTCTGGCTTGTAGGGCTTACAAATTTTGAAATATAACCAACACCACACCAACAATTACCACGTTGTGTGAATTAATAAAATTATGGACCATCTTCCCAATGGGAACCTTGATTGATATGTGGGGTTTAACGTCCCAAAACCACCATATGATTATGAGAGACGCCGTAGTGGAGGGCTCCGGAAATTTCGACCACCTGGGGTTCTTTAACGTGCTCCCAAATCTGAGCACACGGGCCTACAACATTTCCGCCTCCATCGGAAATGCAGCCGCTGCAGCCGGGATTCGGTCTCGCGATTTGCGGGTCAGCAGCCGAGTAGCCTTAACCACTAGACCACTGCGGTAGGGCCCAAAGGGAACCCTGATGGAATGCGAAGCAACAGCGGTGCACACGGCGTTCACCCGGTTGAAACGAGCATCGACGCGGGTGCTGGAAGAATGGTTTGAAGCGAAACTTGGTGTAGCGTTTACTCGAGGGAATGTTTGTTCGAAACATCAAGACACGGGAGTAGGGTTCGGTTCCCTGTAAGTTTCATCGCAGAAAGGCTTTTCACTCGATGTGCGCTCGAACTTTGCGAGTGGTGGCGAGGGTGAAGCGAGAGAGATGAGACGCGGCGAGCGGTGACAGGCTAGGGAGAAAGTCGTCAACGCGTGCGCACTGTGAGGGTAGGCGTGACCTACTTGGCACCACCCCAACACCTGCGGCCAGGGGAGCATGGTGCAGATCGAGGGACAGCGTTACACAGGCTTGTAAAAGAGTGGCTTTACAACTCAAAACACTTGTCTAATGAGATATTGTCAGCAAAGTCGCTATTGCGCACCCACCCATAAAATAAGCGAGTTTGCATTTGAGTCGCCGAAAGGAGATGTGGCGGGAACAGCTGCGCTCTGACTGCGCTCATTCACGGTTTCACAAGGAGGCAGCAATTATACCTAATCCTGACTTTAAAAGTATGTATGGTTTCACGTGCCAAAACAATTTTACGATTATGAGAGACGCCGTAATGGAGGGCTTCGAAATATTGACCGTCTGGAGTTCTTAACGGATTTTTCAAGCCTGTGTACCGTGCACTGACGTCACACAGTACACAGGCTTCTGGAACTTCACCTCCATCGAAATGCGACCGCCGCGTTGGAGATCGAACACGTCATCTGTGTATCAGCAACGGAGCATCGTAGCCACTGTTTCACCCAGGCGAACTGCTCTTCGCTTTACCGACATAAAGAGTTAGAACCATTTTATGCTCAAAATACCTTTCTTTGTGAACTCAGTTCTCATGCACACACCAGTACGACTACAATACGTTTTTTTTAATATTTATAATTTGTTGAGGTATGACTTCACAAAACCAAGGCATGATTAAGAGGGAAGCCGCAATGAAGGGCTCCAAAACTTTTCACCTCCAGTGACTCGTTGCCGTGAATCCAAATATATAAGTACACGGGCTTCAAAATCTTTCGGCCTCATTGAAAGTGCAGCCGTCTTCCCGAGACCATTGGGTCAGCAGTGGAGCAGCAACAGCACTAGACCACCATTGCGCATCACAAACTGTTCGTGTAAAATGTGCTGTTAAACTTAATTTTGCGAAACCACCAGGCAAATGTTTTAACTGGAAGCTTTGGTACACAACATACTAACATTGAGACGTCCGCTATATAAGTCTTTGTAAAAATGCGCATTCAGCAGCAGAGTCCTTCGACCATATTATATGCACATCCGCGTTCCGAAACTCTAAGATTCCGATGGCTGATTTTGCGGCAGCGCGCAGATTCCTGCGCGATCTGGTAGTATTATTCAGAACTAACAGACCAAGTAAAGCCAAGTAAAGTGTACAGGATTGTATTAGTAGTGACTATGATGCAAAACAGGAGATATATTAGCAGGTGAAAATACATTAGACGAGAAACACGTCAAAATGAATTAATTGGCAGGCTGTGCTCACACCGTGAGAGCCATGCTTTTGTTAAGTAGAGTGAGAGAATAGTCAAAAAACGCACTTACAAAAAAGCTGATGGGGGGGGGGATTTCAAGAAAAGACACTAAATAAATAATAAAAGGGAACACCTTGAATCAATAAATAATATTCAAAGTATTTTATCCACCTAATTATTGCCAACTAATCCTTTCGGCCCTTTTGAGCTGCCATATACAGTTCCCTTTTTAAGTGTTTCACTTTGTGAGTTTGGGAGTGTCACTTTTTATTGAAGCTTTGTATTCAGTGTAATATTTATTAAAGCTTTGGATGCAGAAATCACACTATGATTATGAGAAACATCGCAGTAGAAAGCTTGGTAACTGTCTGCCACATGGAGTAGATTAACGCGTTCATAAATGTAACTGTACTCAACTCTATGATTTCGCTCACATCAAAAGGCGGCCTCTGGGGCCGGGACTCGGATCCTCGAGCTGCGAAACAGCAGAGCAGGACAGTAATGGACTCAACCCCGCAGCAATTGCCTGTGTGTTCTCTGACTCTAACGTAATTCACTTCAGATAGGAGGTTGCGTTTTTCATATGCGTGTGCTCGTTTTTTTTTTAATTTCTTATGAGTCAACATACAACTGAGGGTTGTGACTAAGGTTAGACTGTTTTACAAAACAAGTTGTAGGAGTAGTCACCTAAGTGTGCCTCATTACAGCAGCCACTAGCGAGTCTGTTTGCCTACTAATCTACTCGTGATAACTAGAAATAGGGTGCGCGATTAGTGTTGGCTAAGTCATTACTGATCAAATCTTAGGCCACGGCTGTTTTTACGAGTTCATCTTGGATGTAGGCTTTTGTAAACTCAACAATGCTTAACGGCGCCATAAACATGAACGCTACAACGTCGTGAAAGTTTTGCAAGTGCTGTTCAGAATCGTAAACTTTGCACCAGATTGCAAGTTTCAGTGGTTAGAAAATGAGAACTGTGTAAACAGAGTGTGGGTGGCAGCCAACGTTTTGACAAGCGGACTTTTCTTTTAAGGCTGAAAGTGACTCGTTGCAGCCTAACAAAAAATGTAGTCCTCTTGCCAAAACTGTCGGCTACAGTGCACAACCGCCAGTTTTTGTTTTGTGTGTTTGTGTCTTTTTGTTTCTTCTGACCAGTACAGGGGGACGAAACGTCAAGTACATTTTGTTCTTTTTTTAGTCGGTGTATCCTTTCGCGTTTAAACTACGCATTTTCGCGGCCATTAAATATTGAATTTCTCACACCCACAGTTTTCGAATTTTCGATCGAAAGCTTTCATTTCCTTATTTTTCCTCTGTGAATGATGAAAAAATCACATATGTAGAAGCAACATTTTATTATAGACCTTATTTAAACTGTGGCGCCTTAAAATTGTTTGCCTTAAAAAGCGCGATCATTTGATGGAAGAGCTAGGCATTCAAGTAGTTGTGGCTCATGCAATAAATCCACATCAATTTAATTGTTTGTTTTATTTTACAGATTTCTAGTTGTATTGATTTGCCTCATCTTCAGCGTCCTATCAACCATTGACCAATACAGTGATTTCGCCATGTCATCTTTATACTACATGGTAATGTATGGGTTTTTCCAATTATATTTCTTGCATAAGAGTATGCAAAATCCAAAATCCATATGTGATCCGACAGATGGAAACACGTAGTGGGATAGTCAGTTGACCAGCAGAAGTGCCTCAGACAGGCTGACCGAAGTTTCGATAGGAGGACCTATCGCCTCCTATCGGCAGTTCGACGAAGATACGTTCTCCTGTCGAAATGTCAGCCAGCCTGTATGAGGCACTACTACTGTTAAACCTGACTATTCCATTGCCTGAGAGTATAGGACATGATCAAACTACCGTATCCCAGCCCCTACAGTTAATGTTGCAGTAGCTACAGAGATATGGGTTTGCATGCCAATGAAAGTCACAGCCGCCATGATTAGGAGACATGAACGTTGCTGTGTGGGTCTTGTAAATACACTAGAGGAAACTCTGGTGTTATGGTGTATGGGAGCTGCAAAGCACGGCACTTCAGCGAGCATGGGAGTGACGGGTAGTGCGCAAAGTTATCTTTGTACTTTCGCTGCGCTTGGCTGTACGTGGATTGGAGCCGTTTTGCCACAAAACGACAGTCTTCAGCAGTTGCATTTTACTATTGGAATTGCCAAATCCATGTCGGGTTACGAAGTTCACAATGATCAGTTTTTCTTTTCAAACAAAGCAGAAACACAGCAATAAACATAGCCACAAGTGTGTGCAATGCCCGCAAGTACGAATACTAGGCAAATTCGAGTACTACCCATCATTTCCATGGTGACTGAACCATCGCAGTGCCTCAGTCCCGTCTAGTTAATTCTAGGAAACTTTATAGGGTGAATATATCTGGGCAGCTTGTTGATAGATAAAGTGATGTAGTTTGTACCAAGATGAAGAAAGCGTGGCTAATAATGGTAACGAGATTAACAAGCTCAGAGGCGTAATATGAAACCAGTTGGCGCATTGCAGGAATTTAGAGATTACTTGGAGTGGCCTCCGTCCTGAATTTGACACAAAACAGGGTGACGTTGATGATGACGATGGGTATACCCAGCTCATGCCCTGGCGGAAGGATTCAATGAACGAGTACACTAGTTTGAGAAATAATGAGGCGAAGATAAATTACAAATAGGTTACACAGATAGTTACCCGAACCGAGCTGTTTGCACAGAACCTAGATTTGTTAAACGGGGCGTATTAGGCTGCTCATTTCAGGATTCGTTTTCGCTAATAATATAAATGCTTTTGGGCACTGAGCACTCTTCTGCACAATTAATCATCTAGCTTTTATGAGCTTCCACGACGGCTTCACCTATCTAACCTTAAGTGCGTGCGCGTGTTCTTTCCCTCTCTTACCCCCTTTCATTACTTTTCTTTCAATATCCCTCATCTCTTTCTCCCTGTGCAGGGTGGCGTATCAGTTATGCTAAACTGGTTAACATTCCACCTTTTCTCTCTACCGTTTTTTCTTCGTTCCTGCACGTATCGCACTATCCTTTTGTATTTACTGTAGTTACACAGTGCAATGATCGTTTTGAAAAATTTGGTCTTACTGCTGGAAGAAAATGTGAATATCTAATAAGGTAACACCTCCTTTGCATAGTCGAGGCGATGCAAGCGATAAAACTAAACCACAAAATTATTCCCCTGCTAATGAGTTCGACAGCGGTTTGTGGTGGGGCAGTGTTAACGCAACAAAACTTCGAACAACCCTTGACCCCGTTATGTACAAATCGCATCATCATTATCTGTGGTTTGAAGAAAATATGAAACATATGCACGAGCATGGTAGTGCATTTTTATTAACGTGCACAGACAGACTGCGGCTTGCTTACGCTACATTAATTTTGGAATGTGGCGCACGCTGGGAATAGGGGTCATAATTACTTTCGCAATAGTGTTTTGCTGAGGCAGCAGCGCTGTGTCACCAGGTCCTTAATTGCATAAAATATGCTTATTAACGAAGACTTAACAGCAGAAACGGGGAGACCGAGTACTGCTTAGGTAAAAGTGAAGTTAAGGCAACTGTGTCGGGAAGCTCCAATGCACTAACTATTGTAAAAAATAACAGAAATGTTTGCAAGTTCGTTTGGCTTGTAATCGTGTCAAAGACAGTGCTACAGCCAGTACAAAAAGATGGTAACAAGACAGAGCATGCACTGTACTCACAGCTAATTTGGGAGTGCATCACATGCACTGTCTTTTCCTTATTCTCTTGTATTCACTCTGGTGCTGTGTTTCACATCGCTGCTAATCGACAGTAAGTCTAGGCGCCATCGTTAACCAAGCGTTAATCAACCAACACCGTCAATCAACCATCAGTCATATTGCGTCCTTCATTGCTTCTCTAGGAGATTTTTCTCGTAGTCTTTTTTGGAATGGAGTACTGCGTCCGGCTCTGGGCGGCCGGATGTCGGAGCAAGTACCTGGGATTCTGGGGCAGGCTGAGGTTTGCTCGAAAGCCCATTTCTATCATAGGTAAGTACATAATCATGTCTCATCAGCCTGAGTAGTCGAGGCACACAGCGCCGCATCGTACATTGTCGGACATGCAACTATATAATGCAAGAGTCTTGTTATACGGAGTGTTATGAGGTCCGGCCATTTTCTTACGTTTGTTCTCAGCTCCGAATCAACTTTCTTTGTTTATTTTCTTCGAAACGAATATGTAAGTGCACTTTAGCATCAACTAACGTGGCTGGCCACACCTTAGGGAATTTCATGCCATTCAGCATAAGCAATACCGCGCTATGCAGGAAATTGTCGTGAATTATCCCCAAACAATCCTTCACAAAAGAAGTCTTCACAAAAGTGAAGACTTCTTTTGGCTACGATGATCGAGCCCTACTATCACTGAATTCCAGCTCACTGGCTCTGCTAACTGACCTAACCACAACCACTGTGGATTTAGACATAATTTTTGACAGAATTTTTTGAAGTTTTCGACAGAAGAAGCGTCGAACGCTATAAACGGCTCAGAGACATGTGGAGATGTGAACTAAAAAAGGTGAACCTTGTGTTTAAAAATGCTGCCATCTTCACTTTGTAACAATGGTATAATAAATTTATAAACATCATGATATGAATATGATGTGATATGATTAAGGCATAAAGACCACGATATGATTATGACAGAAACTGTTGTGAGGGTACCATAAATTCTTAATAATTTACTGAGATAGTGTCATGAACTCTATTTATGAGCAGCCATAAAATGAACGGAAAAGTAAATATTATTGAAAAACAAATAAACTTAAATAGGCTTCAATAGCGATGACCTCAGCATTATCTAAAAAGTGGTCCAAGTAATGATATATATATATATATATATATATATATATATATATATATATATATATATATATATATATATATGTCATGCAGAGTGCTGGCAGGTTAACCAGAATACAAATATCTGGTGGGCTACCCTGCATCAAAGAAGGGGTGAGTGGAGACAAAAGAGAAGGTAAACAGAAAATAGGGCAGAGCATGGAAGATGATCAGAAGCACACACACACACACACACACACACACACACACACACACACACACACACACACACACACACACACACACACACACACACACACACACACACACGGGATTTTCATAGCCGTTCCACAAGAGGGTTTCTGGCAGAACCTAAGCAGCTGCATCCTCGCTTTCTGCTTTAAAGCGCGCACGTTTCGGTATCTAAGATTCATTACCCGAAAAGCGGCTAGTCGTCGAGGTTTGCCAACACCACAGGCTCTCTTTATTTCTTTCTCTTTATCTTTTTGTTAAGGAAAGGGGGGAAGACATGGTAAATTAATTTTCTTTCTATCAACTTCACAGACCTCAGACTTTTCTTCATTCCCATCTTTTTTGTTATTTCAGATCTCATCGTCGTCGTCGCTTCTGTTGTGGTCTTAGTGGCCGGCTCGAACGGCCAGGTGTTTGCTACCTCAGCTATCAGGTGAGGAGCGAATCAGATATTACGCAAGACAAGATACATGAACCTTAAACAGAGCTTAATCTAGAAGCAAAGAAGGGCAGTGACCTGAAGCCTACGTTAACTCACCGCTGGGTTTACTACTCGCATGTTTGGCACGCTACATAGCAAAGGTAGGCTTGTTGAAAGCCCAAATGTACGCGTTTTAGGTTACCATCCGACACTTAGTCTCTCGCTTAAGTATCAGTATCACAATAGAAGCCTCTGTTTCATAAGACATGACAACTTAAGTAAGCAGGAACAAAGTATACAGTTATAAAATATTTGCATAGATATCACTCTGGCATTTCGCAATAACCAAGACATGAAACAAATAAATGGGGTTGTGAATGAAGCATTTTATGTTCATAACATGGTTGCGAATTGTAGAAGCACCGAAAGAGCAAAATTCTTAAAATACGACAATGTCTTTGTAATTAAGGTATCCATTGCATGTTACTATCTTGATTCTTTCGGGGGCGTCAATGCAAATAAATGAATGAATTTTTACCGCAATAGAGTTAATGAGCTCGTTTAGCAGAAATTCCGGTGTCGGCGTCGGTGTCGTTGGTTGTGAGCGAAAAATTATCATCTCATGCGTGACCGAAAAATCGAGAACGATTCAAACAAAATAAATACATGATAGAAACGCTGAAGCAGAGTGTGGACCGGACAAGGATTATTTGTGTCCAGTGGGGACCGAACCCGGGTCGTTTTTGTGGCAAGCGGACGTTCTACCACACGGCCATGCCACAGCTTGTGAAAACAGTGAAAAAACTTTCTCTGCTTGGAAATGCAGTGGAAGTAGCTTTCATGCTTCACTAACACACACACACAGCCTGTATAGATGCTTCACAATGCCACATGAAATATTGCAGTAATGATGCTTGGTAGAAGCGTCCATTGCTAAAGGGCGTCAGAATGTGTGATTATCATAAGGGCTCCATGGTTTAAGTACGTCAACCCACCACAAAAGGCACACACGCTACTGCGCCTATTTCCTAAAGGCCACGTATAGTGGGTGTATAGCAAATTCGAAAAGGTTTCACGCCCCGAGAATACTTGAAATACGCACTAGGAACAGGATGTCGCTATCACGTTCAACTCATAAAAAGGTGAAGCTGTAGGGTCCCCTATTTTTTTCTGCGCATTTTGAAGCAAAGTCAGCACACCGTAGAAAGTCTGCCAGTATTACACTTTTCAATGCTCCGTAAAAAATAAGAATGATTTCACCAAATGCACATACAATTCTGTATCGCTGATTTTTTAAAGTGTTTCTGTGCGTGCGAAAAAAAAACAGTACGTTTCCCCCAGTTCAATGAAGCCATATGTTATCAAATTGGCTTAAAAAACTTGAAGTTGGCTTCACCATTTAGTGTTACATATAAAGACTGCAATGAAACGAAATCGGAAATCCGAAAAGTATAATGCGAACAAGTTTCGCCATTAAAATAGAAGAAGCAAAACTATTACAGGTGTTCCCGCAATTCTTTTATGCAGGATCAGGTTTTTCTTTTTTTGATATGTGGGGTTTAACGTCCCAAAACCACCATATGATTATGAGAGACGCTGTAGTGGAGGGCTCCGGAAATTTCGACCACCAGGGGTTCTTTAACGTGAACCCAAATCTGAGCACACGAGCCTCCAACATTTCCGCCTCCATCAGAAATGCAGCCCCCGCAGCCGGGATTCGAACCCGCGGCCTGCGGGTCAGCAGCCGAGAACTTTAGCCACTAGACCACCGTGGCGGGGCATGTTTTTTTTTTTGTGATGGTGAGTATGGTCGTCATTTCACAATGGTTTAACTGCTCTGATAAAGGAACAACTTAAAAAAAGTATAAGACCACACGCGTCCAATCTCACAACTAAAATTTCATTGAGTGTAAGTGGACATCTGTACATTGGGAATAGAAAGACTTGCGGTAATTAGCCAAAGTTGGTTGACGCTTCGATTAAAGTGTTCACGGCATCATCTTTCACCAGTGATCTCATGTGTTTCTATGACCAATGTACACATGTCCTCTTTCACTCAATGAAATTTTAGTTGTGAGTCTGCGTAGGTGCTATTTTTTTTTACTTTCACTGTCATACTTATTTCAGCACCATTAAACTATTATGCAACAGACGTGAACCAACTATCCCGGTTCGGTGCTCTTCGGCAAAAGATTTTTATCATTTTGGTAAAAAAAAAGTATCTTGACACCAATACCACGGAAGCGAAAGAGTTGAGACAACTAAAGCTTCTACACCCATAAAAAGTGTCATATTGTCATCATACCTTTCTTGTTGCACACAGGGGAATCCGCTTCCTCCAGATACTGCGCATGCTCCACGTCGACCGGCAGGGGGGCACCTGGAGGTTGCTCGGATCCGTAGTCTTTGTACATAGGCAGGTGAGTTCGCCAAAGGCCGTGCCTGTAATTAAGTGCACACTCGTCGATTCGTTCCTTGCACAGACTGTCGGGGTAGTTGGTCTTTTATTATGGCAAGATCAATTAGGCTTGATATAAAAAGGATGCAAGAAGACCAGGCAAGCAAGGACAGTTCCCACTGACAATCGATTATTGTGGAAACATCCTTATATGTGCACTTTCTGCAGTGACTTCGCCATGACTTTGTTGATAGGACTATATCGTGGTTTTTTCGCGAAGTTATATATGTCATTGATCGACAACGTTCATTGAAAAGATGAACATCATCATCCATCATTCGTGATAAATAACGCAATGAGGATCTTCACGGGCAGCGTAAATCAGTGCCCAAGCAAATATTTTATAAAATAACTGAGAATATCCCAACGCAAAAGTCAAAGTACTCGTGATGTGACAGACCTGATTATTCAGATCTGTGGCTAAACATCACTCACGAAAACATCCACCAAAACCATGGCAACGCGACAGGAAATGTTGTTTTATGGCCAATCTGAGTGTGCACTGGAACACTACTTTTTTTTCTAACACTATGTTATTCGTGTGCAGGAGCTCATCACAACGCTGTACATTGGTTTCCTCGGCCTGATCTTCTCGTCCTACTTCATGTACTTGGCCGAGAAGGATGCCATGGGCATCGAGGGAAAATCAGATTTTACAAGTTACGCCGATGCACTGTGGTGGGGAGTGGTAAGTGTTGGCTGCAGACCACGCTCTCCTTGGCGCCACATAAAAAGCTGCGAGCGGAACCCGTCTTCGATCGCCACGTCACTGAAAGTCACAGACGAACGGGCGTCTCCTCCGTGCTTCACGACTACTACGCCGCAGTCTGCTATTCTAATTTAGCCAGCATAGGTCTCAGACATGCAAAAATATGTGCCTCACGGTCGTACTATGTTCGAAGATTATCGGAACAGCGCCTTTGTCCTTCGATTGCCGAAGTCGAAGGCACTCTTTGCGCTTCGTAACTTCCATATCATCGCATCGTGTACCTCACTTGGCCGATGAACGTATCAGTGCGACGGCGCCTGTTCCGCACTTCACGTAAATGTAACTCTTCTCTTTTTCCTATTTGATTGGCTGAAAAAATACTGTGTTTTTTCCTGTGAGACACGAACAGGTACTTATTCAGTCCACAATGCCAACTCATGAGCAGTCGCAGGCAGGAGTGGTTTGCATGGACATTTGATAATTTCAATTTTCCAATGAAATAAACAACAGAAGCCTAAAGCAAAATTAGACCTTCGGGAAAGAATGTGAAATAGTATAATTTACAAAATTTTAAAACAGTAGTAAGTGCAATGCGTATTTTCTTATTTATTTTTGACACAATGAGCGAGTTTCGTGATTAAAAAGACACAACTGAGAAATACAATCAGAGAAAACCATGTCGGGACATGTTCTTTATCACTTGTTTATTGAAAGTTCCAGTCAAGGGGCCACCTGATCCGTCAAGAGTAACGTGTGTACGACTGCTCTACATTTCGTAACAAATACATCTTTAAATCGTCTTCATCCGTTGGTCCCTGGAGGATGCTGACGTGCTCGCACCTGAGCCACAGTTCGCTACGATTACTACCACATATTCAATGCTTGGTCGAGGGAGCATTCAGAAACATGCCCGGATCTTTGTAACTGATAATTGCAGACTATTCTCGTCACTTGGTCGATAGAGGTGAAAGAAAAGCGGACACCGTCCATGCGCTTCGCAACTTCGATGTCCATCGATTGTCCTCCTCACTTAGCTGATGGAGGTCGCGGATAAGAGGATGCCTGCTCCGCATATCGTTCAAACCTCATAAAACACTCTCTTTTAATCTCGAATTACCAGGTCATCTCAATGCAGCCGCAAAGTAAGGCTCTTGCATATTTTGGAGGACAAAGTGTGCAATTTTTCGCCCTTTGACAAAAAAAAAAACAATGGTTTCACAGATTTTTATCGACGTAAAGCGAAACTACGAGCCTACGTACACCAATTGATTAATTGAAACAGTGCTGTTGAAAGTCCGGCACTGGTTGACAACCCGTGTCTAGGCTTTTGATTGGGCTACATCAAGCACCTACCTCGTTACCACCTCTCATGCTTGCTAATTACCCTCTCTTGTGCCTTCAGGGCACTATTTATCGTGTAAATCACGCCGGCGAGTACGCGCAACCCATCACGTCAAAATATATTGGCGCCTTTTTTGTGGTATGTAGCCATGTTCTCACAAGACACGCACCTGATGATTATCATATTTGCAGCAGTCACATACATTCGTCATCCATTGACGTCACGTAATACAAAATTTGGCATATGTGAAGCTAGCGAAACGGCCGCGAGCACATTATGAGTGTGGCATGTAGTCATGTTGTTACATGACACGCGTGTCATGATTATCATGTTTGGACCTGTTATTTACCTATGTCGCCCACTCGCGTCACGTATTACCGAGTTTGGTACATATGAAGCCAGAGAAACGGCCGCGGGCGCATCATGAGCGTAGCATGCAGTCAAGTTGTTACACGACACGCATTTCGTGTCTGTCATGTTTGCACCAGTATCATACCTTCGTCATTAATTCAAGTCCCGTAATACCAAATTTGGTATAAGTAAAGCTAGCGAAACGGCCGCCAGCGCATCATGAGCGGGGCATGTAGTCATGCTGTTACATGACACGCATCTCATGATTATCATGTTTGGACCAGTTGCATACCTTCGTCATCCATTCACGTACCATAATACCAAATTTAGTATAAGTGACGCTAGCGAAATGGCCGTGAGCGCATGAGCTTGGCATGTAGTCATGTTGTTACATGACACGCGTGTCATGGTTTTCATGTTAGGGTCTGTCTCTTGTGTTCGCTATGCAATCATGTCATACCATACCAGTTTTGCTACATGGCATGTGAACGAAACCAGCGCAAGAGCAACAGGACCATGAAACGCAAATCATGACATTCATGACATACATGTCATGATTTTCTTGTTACGACTGATCAAATGTGTTCTTCATACAGTCATGTTATGCCATACCAAGTTTGGTATCGATACCATTATCGAAACGGCCAGGAAAGCTAAAAGTCATTGGTGGATAGATTAGATAGATAGATAGATAGATAGATAGATAGATAGATAGATAGATAGATAGATAGATAGATAGATAGATAGATAGATAGATAGATAGATAGATAGATAGATAGATAGATAGATAGATAGATAGATAGATAGATAGATAGATACATAGATAGATAGATAGATACGCCTAAAGTTGCTGAAGTTCACTAAGAAGTGCTTCGCATTTAAAAGCAATTATTGCGAGTACCTGAGGCACAATAACAGCATGTCGATGTTTGGTATGTGTGCCTTTATACTAGACAACACACACACAAGCTTTTCTAAGGACCGTAGCGTTTATCACGCTGCGTTGAAAGTGCAACGCGATGCGCAAAAAGGCAAGTGTTTCCAACATTTGCTGAAAAGACATGGTGGTGGCCCCTGCCCGCGCTTTGCGTTCTACTCCTTCTCGCCTCCGAGACAGGCACGCATCTTTCTCTGTGGGTGCGCACACTTTCCTTCGTTTTCGAAGATAACTGCCAGATGGCGCTCGTGTCTAACGTGCCTCAATGCGCTCACTAGCCTTCGCTGCACGGATAAAGACTCTCTAACGCAGCGCTTCTAGAATACAATTCAACGCTTTTCTCGCGCAGAACATCAAATAAACAATTTGTCTTCTCTCTCCACGCAAGACTATCACCTTTCGACAACATTTGCAGTGAAACACGCAGATACGGGGCCAATTTTTTACTTACTTTTTTGCATTGTTTGTTACCTTGGTTGTCATTAATAATGTCTTGTTTGATTTATTGTACATTGTCACCATTTGTTACTTTATTACGAGTCTCGCCACATTTTGTTGTTTTCATTGTTATTAAGAATTTCTGGTTTAACTTATTGTACAATGTACTCCCCTGTGTACCTCTCAACACACTGTTTGTACTAATGGCCTGTGAAGGGCAATTTAAAAAACAGAAATATAAAAATTTACAAATCAGCGTTATTAACGTCGAAGAAGTGTGTTTTAAGTGCAGGGAAGTCTACGCGGCCAGGCTTTTGTGTGCTTCCATTGTTGTATTCTTTCGTAGTTGGACGTTATGCAGGTAAAACCCCGAAAAACATAGCCGCCTGTAGCCTACTAAGAGCGCGCTCGCGCCAAAGTGAAGTCTTCTACCAGTTATTTTTCGAGTGCCTTGATGATCCTAATTGCAGAGCACTTTAGACGCCGGGGCTGCGGTAGAAATAGAAAAAAAAGAGGAAGCAAGCGAGATATTGAAGAAGAGTAAAGGAAACGGTAAAAAAGGAAGAAAAACAGAGTGTGCACGGAAGAGGAAAAAAAACAGATGAAGAGAGAGAAATGATAATATCAGTGTGTGTGTGTGTGTGTGTGTGTGTGTGTGTGTGTGTGTGTGTGTGTGTGTGTGTGTGTGTGTGTGTGTGTGTGTGTGTGTGTGTGTGTGTGTGTGTGTGTGTGTGTGTGTGTGTGTGTGTGTGTGTGTGTGTGTGTGTGTGTGTGTGTGTGTGTGTGTGTGTGTGTGTGTGTGTGTGTGTGTGTGTGTGTGTGTGTGTGTGTGTGTGTGGAGGGGGGGGGGGGGGCTTACGTGCCAAAACTAAGATTTCATTATGAGAGAGACTGTAGTGGAAGGCTCTAAAAATTCAGACTGCGCCTGCGGTGTTTTTTAAAGGGCACTGGAATCGCGCAATACACGGGCCTCTACCATACCGTTTCGCCTCCATGGAAAAGTGACCGCCATGGCAGGAGTCGAACCCATGACCTTTGGGTCAGCGGCCGACCACCATAGCAACTGATCCAGAGCCATTGTTACTGTTAATTAAGCTCGTTTGTCATTGCTCACAAATTCACACATTTTGCTGTACTTTTTTCTGTAATTACCCCATTAATGTCGCCTTAGGAGGCCCCTCGCCCGTTTCTCTGAAACTTTGGGACCTCCTCTTGTACTATTCCAATCGTGCAACCGAATGTGAAATGTGTAATAAACTTGGCTTGACATGACTTGATTGACCAAGCCGGACGAAGAGACAAGAAATAAATGGAATTAAAGATATAGAAAAATAGCGGTAAAACGCCCTAAAAATAGAAAGTAAAAAAAAGGGAGAGACGAGCAAGAACTCAGAAAAACAACGGGAACCACACATGGGTCCCCAGCTCCGCACTCACTTCAGGCTTGACACACGTATATAGTGCGAAATCACCTAACAAAAAAAAATCTACCACAGTCTACGCTACCAATTCTTCTAGACATCATGAAACCATATCATAACTTACGCATGTTACAAAAAAAAAAAACAGACGTTAGAGGAATTAAACGCTCGGCTTCGAGCCCCCTAGAAACATTCGCGCACCGAATTATAAATAGCTGGAAACTTAAGCACGACTTCGTTTTTTCAAGATTGGTAGCACTGTGGAAAGGTGGGGCGGAGAGAAAGGGGAGGCGAGGTTGGCGCACATGTTGCGTGTCTGCACTGAATGCACAACGGACAGAATTAGAAACCCTTCATCACGCCATCCTGCTCAGCCATAGAGAAAACCGCGCTTCACGAAACGTGAACTCGCAGAGCTGCCGCTTATGCGGGCACGCTCTACCGGAAAATCGAACTCCATCTCGGCAGGAGACAAAAAAAAAATAATACG